CACTCCACGGAAGGTTGCAGTTCCGTGCGCGTTCTCTTAGCGTTCTCGCCGTTCGCTTGGAGGCCGCTGCTTGCTCAGAAAACTCAAGGACCCCCAAAGCAGCTCCAAATGGTCGCGTTCACAAGACAGCCCAAGGGAGCTCCTCGTTCGCAAGACAACCAAAAGACGCTCCAAACAGCGCCCAAGACAGTCCCAACACGGCCTGGAAGGGCCCCATAGGGCCCCACGAAGGATGATTCTGATGATAATGATGATAATGATGAGGGGGAAGAGGAAGAGTACGCGGATGAGGATGTCCAGGAGAAACAGCAGCAGGAGATGGGGAGGAGTGCAATCATTTGGAAGAGTTTGGAAGAGGAGCAAGCCTGAGGGACGCACGTTGCCAACTCCAGCCTCGCCGCCCACATGTTTCGAATTCTGCCGCTCGCCGAATTGACTGCATGCAGTGTTTGTCCAGTCGTGTCCCTCGCGAAGCGGTCTATGATAATGGCGGTGGGTAGTGCCCAGGAGGGAGGCAATGGCAGGCTTACTCCCCTAAGCAGATTGCCGAACTCTCTCTCTTCCTGACCTTGCCAACAGGTCGTGCTTGCAACCACTAGTCCTGCCTTGTGGTGGCCCAACTCTTGAATACCCCGTTGCTGTGCCGATTTCACCCTCGATTCGGCCTCATTGATATGGACATGTTGGCGATAGAGATACCTCTGATCATCATTTGCCTGAACGTGAACGTGAAATCAATGTCTGGCGTTCCACGTATCGCTGTCCTCCTCCTCCTCCTGTCCCTGATTTCGAAGGCAAGAATTGACTGTGGCAACCAAGGGGAAAAGCTTTCTGTACTGAGATGCCTCTAAGCAGATCGCCCCAGTCCGAAATCGCCACCAGGCATCCCAACTCCAACAACTTGATTGCAAGCTGGTGTGCCCACCTGGCGCACGAGAAATTCAACCCGTGGTGCATCTGCAACTGCTTCGGCTGCCGCCAGTGACACCCACCCCGTACATGGCACTACTTGCATGGCGCACGCGGAGGACAGCAGTACTCAAAGCCGACAAGTTCGCATATTCTATCAGGATTCCTCTCTGTCTCTCCCTGTCTCTCTCTCCCGGGCTCTCCCCACTTAACCAAGATGCGTTGTGATCGGGGTTGTGGCACGTCTTACGTCGAAGCCAATACCAACCTCGTTTTCGCAGCATGGCAGGCATGCCGCCCCTGCTGCATCGTGTTCACCAGCACGGCTCGTCCCCAATCCACCTTGCGAACTCCTACCAGCGAACCACTCCAAGCAGCTACTGATGCAATCGAAGGGGGAGCATGCCCGCCCATGCGTGTATGGACGTGGAGAGGGAGGATGAGGAATGCTAGGAGGAGAAGGAGGACAAGGAAGAGGACGATAATGGTAAAAGGACCGAATGAGGATGAGAAAGGTGAATGCCCGAACCTCCCTCTCTCTCTCTCTCCTCCTCGTCCTCCTCCCGCTCCTTCCTTCCCCTTGTCCAAAGCTTGGCGCGCTCCTGGCTTTGAGGTGCGTGGCCACCTGGGCTGGGCGTGCCAGCCGAAGGCCCCAAACGCGCCACGAAAAAAGGTGCGCCCGTCCGGAGAGCTCTTTTCGGCACCCGGGTGGAGAACCACAGTCCGCCTCCTTCCTGCCCCGCAGACAGAAGACTCAACCACGCCAAGGAGACGCGCTGCGAAGAGGAAAAGGAAACGTAAAGGGAGGAGGAAGTGAGGAAGAGGAGGAGGAGGAGGAGGAGACTGGAAAATGGAACGCCAAAAGCAAATCGGATTAACAGAAAAATAATTTATTGGATAGTCAATCGATGAAAGACGTGTCAAGCGAGTGTCAGACAGGTGCGGGCGGCAAGCCTGGAAGCAAACAGCCACAAGGAAACCGGGCACGGAAAAAAGGCAGAGATATTGCGGTGCTACCGTTTGAATGTGGTGCTCAATCGAGTATGTTGTGTCTCGTCGGTCAGCGCAAGCAAACCATGTGCCAACCAACGCAGCATTCGATACAGGTATTGGTATTTACAGTTAGGATGGAGCAGGCTTCAAGCTTTCATGTCGCCTGCAGCTCCACGAGCGCAGTTCGCGGAAACAACTCACTCACTTGCACGGTTTGCTACGTCGCATTCGAGACCATAGTTCGCGACGTGCAAGCGTCTGTGTCATACCTGTTTGCATGGGATACACATTCCGAGGGGAACCCGTCACTATATACATCATCGCGTGACATAAGTACCTGCCCCGGATGTGTTTCTTCTCGCCAGCGTATTAGGTGTGATCTTCCGTCGCGTCGTTGTGGTGCTCTCGGAACTCGGGTCATCCCAGAACATAGTGATGCGAATGCTCTTCGTGCGTCGCATCGTCGTTGTGCTGAACACCCCCAACTGCAGGATCGTCAAGATGAGTGGCGTTGGGATCTCGTCCTGCCAGAATGAGGGGAAAAAATGGGTGTGGCGACAGGTCATGCTCTCAAATATCGAAGACAGATCGTCCCAGGTCTATTTCGCTGTCCCTTGGAATGCTGACACCATAGTCGCCAGACCCTCCACGGATTTCCAGCCTTTCTCCGGCTGTTCTTTCCAGGCTCTCGTAACATAGTCGCGAAGAGCTCGGGACCCTTGGCTGGCGCCGCTGATGCGTATGCTGTATCGGTTAACTGTTTATCACTCGCAGGTGAGGCCCCACTTGTGGGTATTTCCATTTGTGAGGGAACTGTGGCCGTACGATCCGCGAACTGCTCAAACATAGTCAGGGCGAACCTGGGACAGAGAGCATCGAGAGGCGGCGGGGTGCCGTACTTGTAGTGATTGAACATTGTCCAGCTTGAAATCAATATGGGGGTGCACGACATCGTCCGCCGATCCTGAAAGCGGTGAACACATTGGTGATGAACCAGGGTGTCAAAGACGGCGAACACGTTGAACATGTCGAAAACGGTGAGGTTGGGAAAGCTGATGCCGTCGAGGCGCAGCGAGGACGAGAAAAAACAACGCGGGCCATGGCGGCAGTGGGTCGCAGAGCCGAAGCTCCGCTACCACCTAGACAATGGGGTGTAATATATGAATCCTGTAAACAAAAATACTCTATCTGAGAGTCAAACGGGTGAACGTGGTGTCGAAAGAGTGTCATGCGGACACGGGGGGCTAGCCTTGCGCCAAACAGCCACAAGGAAACCAAGCATGGACAAAAAAAAACAGAAAAGGTGCACTACTCCCGTTCGGGTAGGCGGAAAACGAGGAAGAGGAGGATGACGAAGGAGGAGGGGAAAAACGTCGGGAGGATAACATGTTCTGGGGGCAAGGGGCTTCTGCGGGGGGGGTGGGCAACTGTTCTGAAACAGCGACGGGAGAGGGGGGAAGAGGGTGGGTGTGTCGGAATGGGAAAATGGGGCCATCTTCAGCCTCCTCCATCCTCCTCCGTATTCCCTCCTCCCTCATCCCTCTTCCCTCTCCGAAGGGTAGACGGATGGAGGGAAGAAAGTAAAAAGGAGGGGAGAGGATATGATGTGGGAGAAGAGACGGTAGTGGGCGGGAGGGGAGGGGCAACAAGGAGGGGGCGACAGGGAAGACTTCGGCAGCACGAGCTCTCCTCAAGGACTCCGTACCCCGACTGCGAAAGATTTTAATGGAATGGAGATTTGGGAGCCCTGGGGTTCCACTTGAAAATCATTTTGGACCGAACGACTTCCAAACATCCTGGCGAACACAAGCGGGCTCTTCGTGCACTCCCCCACTGTAGCGGAAGCAATCGTTGTAAACGGAGGTGAGCTGAGGAGTGTTGAGGCTTGAGAACGGACAACACGTTTCTGCGCATGAGCAGATCAATCTGCTCAAGGAAATGTCGGCTCATATCACTGGATTCCTTCACGCAACTTGCAAGGTCTAGGCCTGCAGTTTCTCTCGCTGCGTCTACAAAGGTCAAGGAATGCAGCCCGAATCCTTACTCTCCCTTCGAGGAGCGCCGGGGTGTGGGCGAAAGGGGGGGAGACGGACGTACGGTAGTGAGCGAGGGTCGGGGGAGCCAAAAACAACTAAGGCGGGTTATCATGATGACAGAGGGGCAGGATGGGAACCGGTGATGATGACGATGAGGATGACGAGGCTGAGTATGACGATGATGCTGATGATGATGATGATGATGGTGATGATAATGATGACGATGATGAGGACGACGACGGCGATGACGATGACGATGGTGCTGTGGGGAGAGAGAGAGAGAGAGAGAGAAAACAAAAAAGAGAGAGAAGAGCAGGGGAGGCCGCCCAAACCTCCTCCTCCTTCTCCTCCTCCCTTTCCCCCCCTCCTCCTCCCCTCCTTCGTCTCTTCCCCGTCGTCACCAACGAGAGCAAGGCAGGCGTGTAGCAACAAGCACCCCGAAGCTCTGCTGCCCCATCGGCGGCTGCATCGACACCTCCCGCTGCTTTCCGCGCGCGGCCCACACTCGCGACTCCGAACTATTACCGTTCCGATCCCAGGCGTGCCCCTACACATGCGCCCCTTCTTGTCCTCCTTCCCCTTCTCCTCCTGCTCCTTCTCTTTCCTTCCTCCTCATCCTTTTCTCCTTTCAATCCCGAACTCTCTCCCCCCAACGCACCACGAGACGTGTCCGCAAGTCGGGCTGGGCGATTCGCCAGGGGCTTACTCAGGATTTACGGTCCTGACGCCCCAAAGCAAAATCTGTTACAACAATGGGGGGTCGGCCGTTTTCGAAATTCGGCTCTCGCCCTAGCTCCGCGCGCATTCGTTTCAAAGGCCTCCAGCGCTTGCAACTGCGGAGCCTGGCTCGTTTCCAAAATGCGGCTCTCGCCGTAGCGCGTCGCACACTCATCATAAGAAACCTAACGTTTACACATATTGTGGTGGTATTTTTCGAAATGCGGCTCTCGCCTTTGCGCCGCACTGCGGGTTTTTAGCGCTTGCAGCAATTTCAAGCCTGCAGGCCAGTTCGTTTACACAACGGGGCCCTCGCTGGATGCTCCATCGAATTCTACGACCCGACGTTCCAACTGGCGCAGCAAGTCATCGTGTGGAGGGTGGCTCCTTCTCAGCACGGGGCTCTCGATGGAGACTGTCGGGCCTCTGTTGGCCAGAGCTTCAGACTTGTGCACTGCTTGCACGGATGGCGAGCACCTCCTCTTCGAAGCGGGGCTATCGCTGGACTCCTCTGTGGGCTTGCTCGTCCTGCCTCTTTGCGTTCCGCTCGGCTGGGAGGGCGGATCCCTTTCAGAACGGGGCCTCGCCTGAGTGGCAGGTCCGCCGGGCCCTCGTCATTCCAGGGTTGCACTTTTTCCCGCAATGGGAAAGAAGACTTCCAGGAACCCATGAGAAGGGGACCCGGGGTGGGAGGGTGTCTTGCAGCATCGTTGGTGCATCCTGGTTTTACTCTGGCCCTCCTCCTCCTCCTCCTTTTCCTGCTGCTCCTCCCCTTTCACCTCGTCCTCCTTTCCCCTGCCGTTGCTGCTCTTCCTCCTCTGCTTCTGCTCCTTCTCCTTCTCCTCCTCCACCTTCTTCTTGCCCTCCCCCTCCTCAAACCCCTCTTCCTCCTCTTCTCGCTCCTCCATGTCCCCCCCCCCCTTCTGAGCTCAAATCAGGACTTGGTGCGTCGGGCCAAACCCTTCGGGGCAGCAGGACGAGGAAAACGAGCGGCTGCGACGGAGAACGCGAAAGGGCGCCACCCCAGCGCGCCGAACTGGCTCATGGGGGAGGGGCCTCTCCCGAGACACGAGCGCGGACGGGGCGCCCCGACAATAGCCGCCCCCCCCTCCCAGAGCCGTGCGCGCCCGCCGGGGCTCGGTGCCCTCCGCCTCTCCTCCCCAGGTGTGCGGCCCCGGGGGCCCACGGGAGGACGCAGGCGCACGGTTTCCCTCGGGGCCGTAGGCGACCCGAGGAGGAGGAGGAGGAGGAGGAGGAGGAGGAGGAGGGAGAGGAGGAGGAGGAGGAGGAGGAGGAGGAGGAGGAGGAGGGAGGAGGAGGAGGAGGAGGAGGAGGAGGGGGGGCGGAGGAGGAGGGAGGAGGAGGAGGAGGAGGAGGAGGAGGAGGAGGAGGAGGAGGAGGAGGAGGAGGAGGAGGAGGAGGAGGAGGAGGAGGAGGAGAGGAGGAGGAGAGAGGAGGAGGAGGGGAGGAGGAGGAGGAGGAGGAGGAGGAGGAGGAGATGGAGGAGGAGGCGGAGGTGGAGGAGGAGGAGGAGGAGGAGGAGGAGGAGGAGGAGGAGATGAAGGAGGAGGTGGAGGAGGAGGAGGAGGAAGAGGAGGAGGATGAGAAGGAAGAGGAGGCGGAGGACGGGTCGCCTAAACCCTTCGGATAAACCCTCCAGACGCAGGGGGGCTTGCCCTGAGCGATTTGCGCGCGCCCTGGGGCACCCTGGCCGGAGCGCACTGGACGAGGGCCCGTGCCAGCCATGCCGCAGAGGGCCACGTCGGCGAAACCTTCGCCCGCGAGGACCGCCGCTCCCAGCGCCCCTCCGACCCGTCCAGCGGATCTCGCGGCTCCAACGGCCACGGGAGCAGCGGCCCACTCTTGCGGGCCGCGTACTGGGGGGGCCCCCGGAGCCGAGGGGCCGCGAAGGGACTTTTTGTGACAGTCTTGGTTGTCCTACTGCCCATATTGGTGCCACAAATCCGCCACCGTGCCTCTGGCACGAAGTGGAGTGCCTCAAGGCTCATGCAGTACTGAGAAGTTAGCCGCTGGGCTGCTTCTGCAGCGAGCATTCTAAGTCTTTAAGGTCCCGGACCAGGCGTGTCCCAAATCTTACCAGAGTTTTCTGGGCTGGCTCCCGTGAGTTCTGATGTGTTTCCTGCGCCTCCTGTGGACGCTGTGCCCCTCCAAAGCGACCTCCAAAACCCTCCCATGAGTCCAGAGGGCCCCGAGTCGCCGAGTCAGGACCGTTTCAGAAATCCTCCATGGGATTCCCAGAGACTTTTTTCCAGGAGTCCTCACGGCTCTGCGAGAGTCCATCAGGAATCCTTCTGGACTCCTCAGGAATCCGCAAGAATTCCTTTGGAATCCCTCCAGAATCTCTCAGGCACCCGCACGAGTCCCTCAGGAATCTCTCCAGCATTCTTTTAATTTTTTCAGTAATGCCTCAGGAATCCGACGGGGATCTGTCAAGAAGCCTTGCAAACATCCTGTGGGAATTCTCTCCAAATCTGGTTGGAATCCTTCAGGAATCTCGATACTCATTGAAGGATCTTCGAGAATCTCTCCCGAGTCCGAGAGAATCATATAAGAATCCCGAAGAATCCTCCAGGAATCTTCAAGAATCCGGCAGAAATCTTCAGAAGTCCTTAAGGAACCCTAGAAATCTTTCAGAAAATTAAAGGGATCTTCCAAGAATCCTTCATCATGCGGGAGGAACCCACAAGAATAATTTTCGGGAGTCCTCAGACACTTTTCAAGGATCCTTCATAAATCCTCAAAATTCCGGAAGGAATCGCCTAGTGAAACTTTCAGGATTCTCAGGAGTCCTTCAGGAATCGTGCAGTTCGCCAAGATATTCGCTCAGGAAGAATCCTCAAGAGTCCCTCAAGAGTCCTCCAAACGCTGAGAAGCTGAAGCAAGCTTCCCGGGTTGTAATCCGGCGTTCGCCTTGTATGATTTCAATAGGAACCCTTCTCGTTGCGATCAGTCTGTCTGTTTCCAGTGGTTGTACTCGGTCCGACGTGGTTTGTAAACGGTCTAAAATTGTTGGAATCGGCTTTATTCTCCCGCCCCCTTTGAACACGGGCCTGTCTAACCGGGCCCCTCCGCCTCGGTGTCTAAGGTGGATGGGGGGCTTCGAACGGCCCCCCCTTCTCTCCTTACGCGAATCCTGTTAGTGCTCGAACAAGCTCTAGTAGAATCCTGAATTCTATTACAGCTGGGCCTACCCTTAATATCACCCTAGTCGGGCTCGGCCCAACTATTCTAGAATCCTACTATAGGTGGGTCCAACAGTACTTGGATCTTACTAGGGCTCGACCCATCTCACATCTAGTCCTGCTAGAGCTGGGTCCAACTTTAATAACATCCTAGCCGAACTCGATCCAAGTCAAAGTGGCTCCCATTATATCTGGTTCCAGATGTACTTGGATCCTATTACGGATTGATCCATCTCAAATAGTATCGAACTATCGCCAAATCCAAATAAAACTGAATCCTGCTAAGACTTGATCCAACTCTAACAGAATCCTACTAGGGCTCGATCCGGCCTAATCGCATCCTACTAAGGTCCCACTGTTCGTCGTTGTCGTTGCCCGACAGTCTGGCGCTGGCGGTGGCGCTCGCCGTTGTCGGTTGCAATTGGGGATGGAAGGGGGAAAGGTCCTCCTCGGTTCGAACCCCCCCTGCAATTCAGGGGGGGGGCCCATTTACCCAATTCCAGACCCCACCTTTCTGGTTCGAACCTCCCACCTGTTTCAAGTCAGGGGGGGGGCTCCCAACCTGTAAGACCCCCTCCGCATTCCCACCCTTCCCAACGTCCACATAACGCGGTCATTCTTGTATATACCAAGGGGCGCAGGACCCCAACCACAACTGCCAGATTTCCCAGGATGCACCGCTTTAGTTTTCTCGGAGTCGGAGAGCCCCAAGACGGCCCAACAGGGCGCCAAAAGGGTCCCAAGCAAAGCCAAAAGGGCGGCCCCGAGTCTGCCCAGGAGGCCCCAGGAGGACCCCCAAGACGCTAAGCGCGCTCATTTTCTGCACGCTTTCGAAATATTGTGAGGTGTTCGCGTCTTCGAGCTTCATGGCCAACGACTTGGCCCAATAGGCCCCCGAGATCGCCCCCAAACAGCCCCAGCGAACCCCACGAGCGCCACAAGACGGCTCAACAAACCCCCAGAAGGCTCCCAGTTGGGAAAGGGACTTGGGAACTTTTCCTCTGAAGACTGTCCAAAAGCTCTCTAGAAACGCCCAAAGATGCCTCCACGAGAACTCCAAGGGGCCGTCCACAAATCCCAAAAGGCTCCCAAGAAGCATCCCAAGCGACCCCAAGAGGCATCCTAGAGGCTGGGATCGGCCGAAGGCCTTATCGGGCCTCCTTTGTTCGATCGTCGTCCGTCGCTGCTCGCCCTTGCGCTGTTCGTCGCGCCTCGGAAGCCACAAGAAACCCAAACAATCAGGGCGACAATGATACATCTTTCTCATAAAACAACATTGCAATAACAACTCAATATATACTCCAACCGGACTACGGCTTCGATTCGAAGAGGCGGGCGGGTCAACTCTTTCCTGATCTGTGAAATAATCGTCACGTTCATGAGTCGAACAAATACCTCGGAGTTACACGACAATGTCAAGGCGCCGGACTGTGCGCAACGGAAACTGGGCCTCGAAGCGTTGTTGACGGTGAGGATCAGTGCGTGCCAGAGCGATTGGGTGGAAGCCTGTTTGCGGCGCCAACTCTTTCTTGGACATGTGGAACGCCTGTGGTGGGTAATATTCGGGATCTGTGCCCGCGGCAAAGGCAAACAATCTTACGGCGTAAATGACACGCCCTCGACTGATCAAGTTCGTCGGCGCAACGCAGGCATGACAGTCCACGTGCGTTTGAACATCAATGTTCTCGTCGAATGCCAACGGAACCCCAACCTCATCACGCATGACTGACTGCGCGAGCCATACTTTGCATTCACCTGCGCCGTTACCGTATATTATTTCATTACTGAATGGATACCAGCAAGTGGTTGCCACTACCGTCGGCCACCTTCTTGACAGGCAGTGGCATGAACAATGCGAGCATACCCCATTCGCACCACATGGCCAACATGATACAGCTCTCGTATCATTACCGAACAAGCCTTCAACTCTCGCACTGTGTTCCGCACAATGCAAGCATGTTCATTCGTGAGAAACCAAGGCTAATGCCAGCAAGTGCCGTTATCAAGCATTAAAACAACGCAGATGCGGGCGACTCGGGCTGCAATCCCTGGGGGGCACATGCCATACAATTCAAACTGCAACTCCCTGAAGGCACGACAGTTTATCGCTTTCGCTCTCTCCCTGCGGGCTCCTCTCTCCCCTTCTCTGTGTCAACCTCTGCCCTTTCACTCCTACCGTCTCTCCCTCTCTGTTCCGACTCCTCCGAAGCCTACCCACGGACAGTGCATTACTGTTCCAGCAACCTGCAGCCCCCAGCCATCTATGGCATCAGCCCCATGTCCAACGATCTACTCGATGAACGCCGTATCGTCGTTGTTGAATGTTTACGTTCTGACAAGCCAATTTCCTAAAACATCATGCCTCGCCTTGCCAACGACCACAACAAATATCAAACTGCACGTCGCTGCTAATGCATCGTTGCTGGTGTGCTACCGCAAATGGGACGAGTGCATATCTTTCGGGACCTGTCGCAAAATCGAGCCATACAACTTTCGCTGCGCTACCCACGGTCCATCAACTCTTTGTGTTCCTGCCCTAGGTGGTTTCGGCATAGTTGCGCGCATGTCCCGAGCCGCCCTGCCGCTGTGTCCTCTCCTCCCCTCTCTCTCGTCTGGCGTCCTGGCCTGCCGCGGCTGCCGGCAAGGACCAGAGGTTAGGAGAGGAACAAGGAGAAGGGATGAGGAGCAAGCAGGAAGATGGATGATGAGGTAATGACGGGGGATGAGGAGGACGGAATAGAAGGAGAAGGAGGAGGAAGAAGAGGAGGATCAGGACCAGACGAACCCAGAAAGCTGCAACGATGCTACAATATGCCCTCCCATCTCAAGTCCTCCCCTCACAGCTCTCTGAAGGCAGTAAGTTCTCTGGGGGAAGCACTCCGATGAAAGACGCAGGCCCCATGGGCTTGCCATTCAAGCGAGAGCTCCGTTTTGAACATGAGCCGCCGTCTATCCTTCTAGCTACAAGACGTACCACAGTGCCTTTTCACAGATAGCACGGATGCGACTAGACAGATCCCCCTTTCAGAAAGACCAGCCTCCCATCAATGTCGCTGTCGTTCTCGGCGGCCCAGCTCCACAGATGCTGGCACTGAGGGGAGGGTGAGGATGCTGGGCGCTGCGCTCGACACCAACTCGCCGCATGCAGACAATCTAGGACTCCACTCTGCCGCCCCGGTGCAACGTCGCTCACTGGTGGGAGAGGGAGGAGGAGGAGGAGGAGGAGGAGGAGGAGGAGGAGGAGGAGGAGGAGGAGGAGGAGGAGGAGGAGGAGGAGGAGGAGGAGGAGGAGGAGGAGGAGGAGGAGGAGGAGGAGGAGGAGGAGGAGGAGGAGCGCACGCAGCTTGAATCCACGTTGATCCAGCTACTGCCACTTCTCTAGCACTGCATAGCGGCGAGAGCAGCGGCTCGTATTTCGTAGTGATATGTGGGCACTGCAGCACGGTGTCGCTGCGCCAGGTCAGCTTTCAGCATATGGTAAATACAAAACGAGAGAACGACAATCTTGTGGCATCCGACGCGAGGATATTCGAGGAGGAGGAGGGGCCCACGGTGACCAGCTTGCTGGCTTCGCGCTTGCACGTCGCTGGGGGGGCCAAGCAGTCAATGGCGTTTGATGGTGGCCCTGGCATGGTGTGTTGCTGGCCCTGCCGGCCTTCGACCTGGCACTGTCTCCGTGGGCGACCTGGAACCCCGCTCCGTCCCCAGCGGCACTGCGGTGAAGATGGTGCTGGGCATGGTAGGGTTAGGTCGGGCATGTCCTCCTACAGGCGGATTTTGGAGAAAAATTGACAGCTAGCCCCAAAATGCTGAAAAATAATCAAAGATAGTCAAAAAATCATCCCCCGACTATTCTTTCACTATTCTTGAACAATTCCCCCTGTAGAGGGACCTGCCCGATTTACTGGGAGGGTGGCCAAGTCAGGCCTGGCACCCTTTGTCCTCGCCTCGATCCCGAAAAGGCGCTTCGCCGTTGAGTCTGGCCTTTCGCTGGCCGCGCGGGGCGCTGGCGTGCACCGGGGCCGCGGCCGGTGCCTGCGCCAGGCGCCAGCGCGCAGGGCCCGACTCCTCCTCCTCTTCCTCCTCCTCCTCCTCCTCCTCCTCCTCCTCCGCCTCCCCCTCCTCTTCTCACTCCTCCTCCTCCTCCTCCCGCCTCCTCCTCCTCCTCCTCCTCCTTCCTCTCCTCCTCCTCCTCCTCCTCCTCCTCTTCCTCCTGCCCTCCTCCTCCTCCTCCTCCTCCTCCTCCTTCCTCCTCCTCCCCCTCCTCCTCCCCCCCTCCCCCTTCTCCTCCTCCTCCTCCTCCTCCTCCTCCTCCTCCACACTCCTCCTCTTTCTCCTCCTCCTCCTCCTCCTCCTCCTCCCTCCCCTCCCCCTCCTCTCCTTCTCCTCCTCCTCTTCCTCCTCCTCCATCTCCTCCTCCTCCTCCTCCTCCTCCTCCTCCTCCTCCCATCTGCCCTCTGCGGCAGCCTCCTCCCTCCTCCGCTTTCTTCTGCCTCGGGCGCAACGTCGGGGGCAATCCGCCTCAGCGCGCACCCCCGAATCTCGCCCGAGTCGGACCGTGTCCAGCGCCGCCGGAAACAAACAGGTATCTGGTATGAGGTTGGGCCTGTCCCTCTACAGGAGGATTTTGGATGAAAATTAAAAAAGAGTCAAAACATATTCAATCAATGCCCCAACATATTCAAACATAATGACCAGACAATCTTTTACTATTTTAACATATTCCCCTTGTAGAGGGACAGGCCCGACTTAAATCTGGTGCACAGTTCAATTTTCGGGTCGTGCATGTGGGGGCGGCTCACTCGACAACCGCATTCTGAAAAGAAGCCGCCTTCTGCTGTCCGTGTAAGTGTTGCACGATCGTCAGCTTCGGGTTGCACAGCTGAAGCGATAGCGCTATTTGAAAGAGACCGTTCTCTATCACTGCATGTGCTCAAAGACTTGACAGACGAATGCGCCGGCACTGAAGCCGTAGTCACAGATCGAACATCACCCCACGTCAACCCGCGTCACGTTCGCACACCTCTAGCAACCTCTGAACGAATGCTCGCGGCGCGAAAGCGAGAACCGCACCTTGAGAACAACTCGTCCGCCATCCGTGTACTTGTTCTGCACTTTGGGAACGAACGTGCGCGGCGCTACGGCGAAAGCCATGTTGAAAGAAAGAGCCGCCTTCCATCCGTGCAGCTGTTGGGGATCTCGCGCGTCAAGGTCAGCAGTTTGGGCGGTCTCGGGTGAAACGCCCCTACCGTCCTACTGACACGTCTGGTGGTGCGACGAGGATGGCCGAATTGCTAGGGAAGGGGAGGGAGGCAGAGGACGAGGAGGAGGGTGAGGAGGGGGAAACACTATTTTCCCTATGGCGTGCGGCGTGATACCACCCTGGGATGCGCCACCTCACGAGCTCCCCAGGCAGGCGAGGGACCCCAGTCGGGCCACTAGGAAACAAGCCGATGACGACGCTCACATGCACCACCAATGGAACAAGGAGCGTGCTCTCCTGGTCTGGCTCGCCTCTTTCTCACTCCCCTCCCGCTTCCCCCCTCTCTCTCCTCCTCTTGCTCCGCTTCCCTCTTGATCTTCGTTTCCCCTCCCCTCCACGAGCTCGACTGGAGGGTTCCTCTCGCTCCTCCCCCCTCCTCCCTTCTCCTCCTTCTCCTTCTCTTTGTCGTCGTCATCCACCTCCTCCTCCTTGCCCTCACCCTGCTTCTTCCTGTCCCTCCCTCCCTGCTGCTCCTCCTCCTGTTGGTCCACCGCCTCCTCCTTCAATTCTCGTCGTTGTTGTCGTCGTCATTCTTCTTCTACTCCTCGGCCTCCCGCGAACCAGATCAAGATCGCGGGTGGTGGTGCATGAGCGCCCCCTCCGGAAACACGCTGGAACGGCCATCGCGTCCTACGCTGGCCTCTCGAGGGCAGCGTCTGGCAGACACTGGTGCCGCAAAAGGAAGAAGGGGAGGATGATGCTCTTTCTCCTCACTCCACCTCCTCTGTCTCCGCCTCCTCCTCCTCTTCCTCCTTCCTCCTCTTGTCGGCCCAAGAACGTCACAGACTTGGCGCGGAGAGAGTGCCAATGGCTAGGCAACATAACCGCTATCCATGGACAAATTCAGGTGTGCCAGTTGCGCAATCCGAAGGACTAGATGAGCAGCCGGCCCCCCACTCTGTCTATTCAAGTCCCAATTTATGATCCTTCTGCTCTCCCTCCTCGCGTCCTACTCCCTGCTACTGCTCCTTCTCTTATCTTCTGAACCGTCACCTCTTCCCAAACCCTGGGCCCGATTCCAGACTCAATGGGGCTCTCCATCCCTGCCGCGCCCCCATAGGGGCACCATTGCGGGACGATCTGGAAGGACGCTGTCAGGCCGAGGTGCAGTAGCGGGGGTGCAGTCGAGCGCAGGTGGGGTTGACACACCTTGTGATGAGTTCGGCGCAGATGGCGTCTCCAAACCTCTCGATTGCAGTTGGGATGCAGCGGGGGGCAACGATGGGGTTGCCACAACTTGCGAGCAGACACAATGGTGAAACGTACCCTTGGCACCAAGGAACTACCAAAGCGGGTAGACCACATCGTGATAACGATATTTGCAACCCTGAGAAGTTGTGTGCATGTATGCCAACGGAGATATGATGTTGCAGGTTCGTAGGGCGAGGCTCGCCGGATGTATACGAACACGCCCTACGAGGCCCTCGTGGACCCCTTGAGTACCCGTGCAGTGGATGGTGAAGATCTCGTATGATGGGTCACCCGATGAATTCCAAGGATACGACGAAATTTTGGGTGTATCCCGAAGGGGAGGGCGCAATCGAGCGCTTAGAGTGTTGCCACACACTGCAATGAGTTTGGCGCAGGTGCTGCTTCCACACCTTGAAAAAAGAAGCGGTGGGTCACCGATGGGGTTGCCACGGCCTACGATCCGATAAACTGCTGAAATGCACGCTTCTGGGGGGTCATGAACACAACAAAGGGGATACCAGCATTGGACAAACATAGGTGTACCAATGAACAGCCAACGGGGGCCTTGCAAGATTATATGCGGTACTATTAAATGCCATGGTGTTTTCGAACATCTTGAACACACATGTTGACCATACACGTTTTCTTGTTGGGTGGGGGGGGTGGTGCACTGAAATCGCGATCTGCG